CCAGCGTGTACCAGTTACATGGTCATGTGGTTCTTTGCAAGAGAGCAGTGTTGCAAGTGTGTAGTTTAAATAAGATACAATCAGTCTCTTACATTAGCAGGACAATTAAGGATAATCCCGCACCCACTTTATTACTACGTTAAAGATGTACAGGAAGGCCCCGCTTTACGGCGTTTCACTTTACGGCGTTCCGCTAATACGGACATTTCAAATTATGACCAAAACTCACTATACGGCTCCCCCCACCTGACTTTCTAATACGGTTTCACCGTGCCCCACCCTGTTTGTTTACATTCTCCATGAGCTCAGTAAGCACTAAGTCTCTCCATTTGTCTGGAAACTCCAAAAATTTCAAAATGTTTTTAAAAGTTTATTTCATATTTTATATTACTTGATATTTATCTTATGAATACCTGAACCTAAAATAACTTTACATACATCGAGTCATAAATGTCGTATATTACGTTAATATACACATTTTCATTAATTTTCCCTCCATGATATTTTTTTCAAAATTATATAATAAACACGATGCATAACATATAAATAAAATAAATACCCCCCCACAGTAGAATAAATAACAAATGTGAGATGGTGAGCAGACGACTTTACAAGTGGTGTAATTAACATACTCGCCGATCTCATTAAAGGTGTATATTAAAGGTAATATACACATTTTCATTAATCCATCCATGATATTTTTTTCAAAATTATATAAATAAACACGATGCATAAAATATTAAATAAGATAAAAACACCCACAGTAGAATAAATAAATTAAATGTGAGATTGTGGTAGCAGACGGGCTTGCACAAGTGGTGATAATAACAATACTCACCCGAGGTCTCATTAAATGTCGTATATTGCGGTAATATACACATTTTCATTAATCCCGCCATGATATTTTTTTCAAAATTATATAATAAACAGATACATAACATAAAAGATGATAAATACACCCCAAATGAATAAATAACTAAATATAAGATTTTGGGAGGCCTGGTTTGTTTACATAACTCTGCGCCTGTTCCTATCATGTACTCATTCCCTTTCTCTTCTCTTTATTTATTCGTTTTATCTCATTTACTTTTCTCCCACCCTACTTAAGACTCAATATTTTTAAGGTATTTAAAGATGACTGTATATCATTTTATCGCTCTGGGTTTCTTAAATATCATAGAATAGTATGTGTGGGTGGGTTTGGGCCCGGGGAGGTAGCCTGGCTATTCAATACATACCACACTTGATTTCTTACAATAAATTACTACTTGTCTCCCTAGATTAGACTAAATATTTTAAGGTAAGTAATGAGTGCACTATGTGTGTATTGTACCTTTTTATTGTTTTTTGATGCCTGGTTCTATTGCTAACTTAATATATGTTAGTGTAAACTTGTTATCTAGTGTTTGTATGCATTTATAAGTGGAAAAAAAGGGTGTTCCACTTTACGGCGATTTCCGCTTTACGGTGGTAGCCTGGAACCTAACCTGCCGTATAAGTGGGGCCCTCCTGTACATTGTTGTCTATGCTTAAGACAGCAAGAATCAAGCATTCTGCATTGCTTCATAGTGGAAGTTTGGCAAGGAGGGGAAATATGCTGTCAGCTTTTCCTTTATGCTAGAGGACAAGTGAGGTGGGGTGAGAGGCGTCGGTGGTGAGATTGCTTTTGACCCTGCTGGGGGAAACACTGACGCCGGGATAATGAACAAAGAACACTGATCCGCGCATTTTTGTGCATAAAACTGTCTCAAAGAACACATCTAAACACTTACAGAGAAATGTGATCAGCTTCTTTAGTGATAAAATTGTGAATAATGAAGACAAACCTTGTGGAACATAGTGTACCAGCATATGTATTCCTAGGTGGAAGACGTGGACATCCAAAGACACTTCAGCTTCTATCAAGTCACCAATACCTATCGAAGGTGTAAAGAACACCATAGCTCACGCTACAAGAGCAAGGTAGCTTTCGAATTACCTTGTCATACAGGGGACTGCGCAGTTCTTGTGTCGCAAGGGGTTTGAAATCAACCTATAGTCGGAAGTGAGGTGAGGACTTTATAGTCCACACACGAGTATTCTAGTCAGCAATCGCCTGCAGGGACGGCTGTGTAGGCGAAAGCTGTCTTTCAAGATAAGTTTCCCTACAGTCCACTATTTGATCTTTGACTTAGCTTGTAACATTAACTTCAACAATGTCTACACTTTTCCAATACAGTTATTTTTTTTAAAATTACACACGATAACTATGTTTAACATACTGTATTTGGTAAAGGAATATGTATTGCTCAACAGGTATTAAACAAACCAGGAAGTTAAATATTAATTAACTTAATTTTTCTGAGGTTCCAGTTAATAAATACGTACACCTACCATCCGACTTACGACCTGCTCGACATATGTCCACTCAACTTACGACCGTGCATCTGGCAGCTGGGCTGGGCCGGCTGATGCACACCGCTGTACAATATTTGACAATACTCACGGCGGCAATGCATCATGCAGGCAGCATCAGGGTGAGTAACCCTGCCCTATCAGCAGCATCATACTGTATTAACTGTACTAACTGGACAGTAAATTTCACCATGGCCCCTAAGATGAAGTCTGAATCTTGCACTGGAGATTGTGGCAAGAAAGGCTCTTATTCTCGAACTCTCTATTTGTTTTCACTGTTGCACATAAACCTGTCTGTATCTGTCTGCCTGTATATCTGTGTATGCCTGTATCTCTGTGTGTCTGTCTACCTGTGTGTCTGTCTTTCTGTCTACTTGTGTCTGTCTATGTCTACCTGTGTGTGTCTTTCTGTCTACCTGTGTGTTTGTCTTTCTGTCTACCTGTGTGTCTGTCTTTCTGTCTACCTGTGTGTCTGTCTTTCTGTCTACCTGTGTGTCTGTCTTTCTGTCTACCTGTGTGTCTCTTTCTGTCTACCTGTGTATGTGTGTGTGTGTCTGTGTGTCTGTCTTTCTGTCAACTTGTGTGTCTGTCTTTATGTCTACCTGTGTGTCTGTTTTTGTCTACTTGTGTGTCTGTCTTTCTGTCTACCTGTGTGTCTGTCTTTCTGTCTGCTTGTCTGTCTCAGAGCCACTCATTAAGAGTGTAATTGGTCTTGAAGACGCCACATTAATAATGATAATAACAATAATCGCTGAGGCGCATTAAATGTGTATAAAACGTTAATATTGACATTTTGCTTAATCCATCTATGATTTTTTTTTTCAAAATTATATAATAAGCATGCTACATAACATATAAACATATAAATTAACAAATATGAGATGTTTTTCTGGTTGGCTTGGCAGAGTGAACAAAAACCATTCGTGTCCAGGCTGGTAACAATAACAACAACAACGTTTGTTTACAAACCTCGTGAACCTTCTACACTCTCATTCTCTCTCTCATTTATTCATTTAATCTTGTTTACTCGCCTCTCACTCTACATTAAGACTACAGATATTTTAAGGTAAGTAATGAGTGGACACGATTATTATATTATAGTTTAATAATATTATTATTATTAGTAGTACAAATGTATTATTGTAATAATAATTATTATTAATACACATATTATTATTAATTTAGGATACTGGAGCACAGATCCACTGTATAGCACTTTGTCTGGACTTTTTGGGTTATCCTAGGTAATTTATACTATGTATGATAACTTCACTTATGTGTACCTGTGAGAGAGAGAGAGAGAGGAGAGAGAGAGAGAGAGAGAGAGAGAGAGATACAGAGAGAGAGAGAGATACAGAGAGAGAGAGAGATACAGAGAGAGAGAGAGATACAGAGAGAGAGAGAGATACAGAGAGAGAGAGAGATACAGAGAGAGAGAGAGATACAGAGAGAGAGAGAGATACAGAGAGAGAGAGAGATACAGAGAGAGAGAGAGATACAGAGAGAGAGAGAGATACAGAGAGAGAGAGAGAGATACAGAGAGAGAGAGAGAGATACAGAGAGAGAGAGAGATACAGAGAGAGAGAGAGATACAGAGAGAGAGAGAGAGATAGAGAGAGAGAGATACAGAGAGAGAGAGAGATACAGAGAGAGAGAGAGATACAGAGAGAGAGAGAGATACAGAGAGAGAGAGAGATACAGAGAGAGAGAGAGATACAGAGAAAGAGAGATATACAGAGAGAGAGAGATATACAGAGAAAGAGAGATATACAGAGAGAGAGAGATATACAGAGAGAGAGAGATACAGAGAGAGAGAGATACAGAGAGAGAGAGATACAGAGAGAGAGAGATACAGAGAGAGAGAGAGATACAGAGAGAGAGAGAGATACAGAGAGAGAGAGAGAGATATAGAGAGAGAGAGATACAGAGAGAGAGAGAGAGAGAGATACAGAGAGAGAGAGATACAGAGAGAGAGAGAGATACAGAGAGAGAGAGAGATACAGAGAGAGAGAGAGATACAGAGAGAGAGAGAGATACAGAGAGAGAGAGAGATATACAGAGAGAGAGAGAGAGCCACATTCAGTCAACCACCAACCCACCAGGCCAGCCAGCCGGATACGTATTACACATGTTACAGAGTTGTTTCTCTTTACTTAGGGTATAGGTTATACTACATTCTGGTAGGATGACACTACCAGTGGTATTCTCCCATTCCACTGTGTCGGCAATACATAAAGATAACAGTAACATATGATACTGTATGCGATGTAAAATTTACAATACAGTTCACTACCATGTATACATTATACTATACAGTACATAAATAATTAAAATATAACAATAGAAGTAAATTATGGTAAAAAGAATGAAATAATGATTGTACATTACATTACAGTGCTATGTAGGTAGTTTATATAGGAAAGGTTTGATATTATGCCCTACCCAATATGTCGGCAATTTTCAAAGGTTCGACTTATGTCCATTTTGACTTACGACCGGTTGGTCGGAACCAAGCTTGGTTCCGACCAACTGTAATTAGAACTGGTGTACAACAATTCAACTGGTGAGTAACTACATTATTTCTAAACAGGGAAGGGAAACCTCACCTCGCTGCAATCATCCATTTTGACGTCCAGAGGTGGAGCAGGAAGATTCTCTTGATAAAAGGAATTCATCGGAGGTTCAACTTGGGGTGGTGATTCATCTGGTGGAGTTGATGAACGCCAGTTGCTACGACCACGACCTAATACAGGTACAAGAATAGTTACATTATAGGGTATGTAGAGCTATATCAATTTATTAACAAGCTCTTTTCAGCATAATGACAAAGCTTATCTTAAGAATGCCATTTAGCTACAAATATTTAAAATGAAAATCTGAAGAAATATTTTGGAATTTTCTGTATGTGTATGAAAATAAGTGTAATATTACTTATACAGGATTCATAAAATGACTAAAAAAACAAAGGTATTAACTCAAATTAATAAAACTGATTCTGGATTACACATCTAACCATTTAAAAACAAAGAAAATTGAAAATTTATGTCCACAAAAATGCTTTCTCACCTAAATATCAAACCTAGCTTTAAGAAACTATAAATACCATAGTGGAATATTCACATTATTTCCTTTTCAGCTCAATCCCATACCAGGTCTCAGAAGTTAGAGAAGAAATATTAAGGAATAAGAACTAAGAGAAACAAATGCACATATACACACACACACACACACAGAAAAAGTGTACACTGAGAGCAAATATAAATTTGCAAGATTTACCTGCTGTTTTACAAGAACACAAGACAAAGAAAAGAGCGGTAATTCTGTCATGAGTGCAAAACGTTTAACAGGCTTCCATTTTCCACTCAAGATGACAGGATAGCAGTACCTCCCTGGGTGGTTGCTGTCGACCAACCTACTTCCAGCGCTGATCTATGATGATTTCCAACCTCTTGGCTGTTCAGCAGCTCTCAGTGGAAGAATCCGTATGCCCTGGAGACATGGAGCCTTAACGTTAAAGCCAGCTTTTCTGATCTGTGCCAACTTATAAATCAATTCTCTCAAGAATTCACTTGCAACAATGACTGGCTAATATATCAACCTGGAAACTACCTATCTGATGACTTTCTCAACATGAAACATGAGTTCAAACTAAATGCATGAATTTATATAATGTCTGTCCCTAAAGAAAGAGGGTTAACATATTAAATTTACAAAGGCTATAAACTAGCAAAACATTATGGAAGTAAAGTTTAACCCATGTACACTATGTCAGTTAAACTTAACAATTATATTTTTTATAATGAGGAAAATAAACCATGAAAATACTAATGAAGATCAGTCCAATGAGCCACCAGCATCAATGAGCCACCAGCATCAAAGAGCCACCAGCATCTATGAGTCACCATCATCAATGAACCACCAGCATCTATGAGTCACCAGCATCAATGAGCCACCAACATCAATGAATCACCAGCATCTATGAGTCACCAACATCAATGAGCCACCTACATCAATGAACCACCAGCATCAATGAGCCACTAGCATCAGTGAAGTTCAGTAAGTAATGAAGCGCAGCCCAATGAGCCACCAACATCTGAGTCACCAGCATCAATGAACCACCAGTATCAATGAAGTTCAATAGGCAATGAAGATAAGACCAATGAGCCACCAGCAACAATGAGCCACCAGCATCAATGAGCCACCAGTATCAATGAGTAACCAGCATCAATGAGCCACCAGCATCAAAGAGCCACCAGCATCAATGAGTCACCAGCAACGAGTCACCTGGAGTATACCTGGAGAGGGTTTCGGGGGTCAATGACCCTGCAGCCGGTCTGAGACCAGGCCTCGTGGAGAATCAGGGTCTGATCAACCAGGCTGCTACTGCTGGCTGCACACAAACTGACATACAAATCACAGCCCGACTGGTCAGGTACTCACTTTAGGTGCCTATCCAGCGTCTTCTGGAAGACAGCCAGGGGTCTATTGGTAATCCCCCTTATGTATACTGGGAGGCAGTTGAACAGTCTTGGGCCCCGTGGCACCCCTGCTTTTCATTGGGGGAATGTTTCATCTGCCAGGTCTTTTCCTTTCATAGGGAGTGATTTTCATGTGTAGGCTTGGTACCAATCCCTCCTGTATATTATCATATACAATGGAACCCCTATTTACAAGTGCACCCACGTGCGAGTTTTTCCAGATACAAGCAGTCATTCAGTCGATTTTTTGCTTCCAGACGCGAGTGAAATTTCCAGATGCAAGCGGGCCTCAAGGGAGGTTCCTTGACACTGGTGAGGGGCTCTTGCTCTTGATCTAGGGAATTGGATCTCATTTGTCTGTTGCACTATCTTATTGAAACTTGGGCAATGTATGAGGAAAAGATGCTTCTTAACGTACACCAAAATTGAAAGAAATCGGACCATAAATAACGGAGTTCACTTCTCTGCCATTAGCCGCCCCTCAGCGGTATATTTTAGTATGGTTTTTATGGTTGTATTCTTGTTTTTATGGTCTCATTTGATAGAATGGAAGATTTATTACAGAAATAGATATGATTTTGATTGATTTCATGATGAAAAATACCTAGAAATTGAGCTCAAAGTAGCAGAAATGTTTGATTTTTGCCAATGTTCAAGAGTAAGCAATACCTGCCTGAGTGGCCATTCCAAATATGCAGTCATGAATGGGTTGACATTATTTATACAATTATTACAATAATGCAGTAGTCTGCACAACAGTAAATTTTCTTTTGTGTGAATAAAAATTCCAAATGGTAAGCATGAGTATTATTATAATAATAACAACAATATGTATAATATAATACTATAATTACATAATAATATACATAATATAATGGCATAAATTATTAAGATAGGGAAGCTGTGATTTCATATATAGGGCAAAGAGGAATAACATCTTGTAGGAGTGAGGAAGAGCCAGTTGTGAGTGTGGGGGAAGTTCGTGAGGCAGTAGGTAAAATGAAAGGGGGTAAGGCAGCTGGGATTGATGGGATAAAGATAGAAATGTTAAAAGCAGGTGGGGATATAGTTTTGGAGTGGTTGGTGCAATTATTTAATAAATGTATGGAAGAGGGTAAGGTACCTAGGGATTGGCAGAGAGCATGCATAGTTCCTTTGTATAAAGGCAAAGGGGACAAAAGAGTGCAAAAAGTATAGGGGTATAAGTCTGTTGAGCATACCTGGTAAAGTGTATGGTAGAGTTATTATTGAAAGAATTAAGAGTAAGACGGAGAATAGGATAGCAGATGAACAAGGAGGCTTTAGGAAAGGTAGGGGGTGTGTGGACCAGGTGTTTACAGTGAAACATAAGTGAACAGTATTTAGATAAGGCTAAAGAGGTCTTTGTGGCATTTATGGATTTGGAAAAGGCATATGACAGGGTGGATAGGAGGGCAATGTGGCAGATGTTGCAGGTTGTATGGTGTAGGAGTAGGTTACTGAAAGCAGTGAAGAGTTTTTATGAGGATAGTGAGGCTCAAGTTAGAGTATGTTAGGAAGAGGGAAATTATTTCCAGTAAAAGTAGGCCTTAGACAAGGATGTGTGATGTCACCGTGGTTGTTTAATAATATTTATAGATGGGGGTTGTAAGAGAAGTAAATGCGAGGGTCTTGGCAAGAGGTGTGGAGTTAAAAGATAAAGAATTACACATAAAGTGGGAGTTGTCACAGTTGCTCTTTGCTGATGACACTGTGCTCTTGGGAGATCTGAAGAGATGTTGCAGAGATTGGTGATGAATTTGGTAGGGTGTGCAAAAGAAGAAAATTAAAAGTGAATACAGGAAAGAGTAAGGTTATGAGGATAACAAAAAGATTAGGTGATGAAAGATTGGATATCAGATTGGAGGGAGGAGTATGGAGGAGGTGAATGTATTCAGATATTTGGGAGTGGACGTGTCAGCGGATGGGTCTATGAAAGATGAGGTGAATCATAGAACTGATGAGGGGAAAAGGGTGAGTGGTGCACTTAGGAGTCTGTGGAGACAAAGAACTTTGTCCTTGGAGGCAAAGAGGGGAATGTATGAGAGTATAGTTTTACCAATGCTCTTATATGGGTGTGAAGCATGGGTGATGAATGTTGCAGCGAGGAGAAGGCTGGAGGCAGTGGAGATGTCATGTCTGAGGGCAATGTGTGGTGTGAATATAATGCAGAGAATTCGTAGTTTGGAAGTTAGGAGGAGGTGTGGGATTACCAAAACTGTTGTCCAGAAGGCTGAGGAAGGGTTGTTGAGGTGGTTCGGACATGTAGAGAGAATGGAGCGAAACTGTGTGACTTCAAGAGTGTATCAGTCTGTAGTGGAAGGAAGGCGGGGTAGGGGTCGGCCTAGGAAAGGTTGGAGGGAGGGGGTAAAGGAGGCATGCGTGAGCATGTTTGATAGGAGTGAATGGAGACAAATGGTTTTTAATACTTGACGTGCTGTTGGAGTGTGAGCAAAGTAACATTTATGAAGGGGTTCAGGGAAACCAGCAGGCCGGACTTGAGTCCTGGAGATGGGAAGTACAGTGCCTGCACTCTGAAGGAGGGGTGTTAATGAAGCAGTTTAAAAACTGTAGTATAAAGCACCCTACTGGCAAGACAGTGATAGAGTGAATGATGGTGAAAGTTTTTCTTTTTCAGGCCACCCTGCCTTGGTGGGAATCGGCCAGTGTGATAATAAAAATAAAAAAATAAAATTATTATAATATGTATATACTACTACTAATAAATACAATAATAATTATACTACTACTACTACGTATAAGTGAGTTTGAAAACACCACCACGACGGCATTACATGTATGAAAACAACACTCAGTCTGCATGTGCTTCAACTGGCAGTGGAGATAATTCTTGTGATTTCATTATGTTTTGTGCAGTTATTTTGCAGAATTTCTTGTTTCTAACCATGGGTCCTAAGAAACAAGTGCAAAGGACAGTGCTGAGAAGAAAAAGAGGATGATTTCCATGGAATTAAAGCAGGAAATCATTGATAAACACAAACTAAGAGTGTAGCAATTAAGCAATAGAAAAAGGAAGAAACAAAATGAACTCCTGACAACATATGCCGCTGTGCCCAGCATCTCTTCTACCTCACCAACCTTTGCCAGCATCTCTTCTCCAAGGTAAATGCTGTCTCAGCATTATTATTTATTACGTATTATTATTGTTTTCCTTATGAAACTACATAATGATCTAATGGAGTTTGCCTTACAAACACTCCCTTTTCTGTTATAATAAAAGCATGGG